CTATGTATCCCAAGTAGGCCTCAAACTTGTGGTAATCCTACTGCCCCCGCCTTCCAAGTGCTGGAATTATAGGCATGCACCAGCACCACCATGTTCGGTCACAAATAACATTTTTATGCATCTCATGATGTGACAAAGATTGAGAAGCACTGTTCTAGAGGATAGATGATCCATAGTCCAAAATGTCTCAAATTCTACACACACTGAGGCACTTAGCAAAACCCCTCAAGTCTCTAGAGATCTGTGTACAGACATCCCAGAGTGTCCCTAGCAGTCTACTCTATTAAGACTAGATATGATATTCACAAATTATTTTAGAGCAGCAAGGCTCACCCCAACTATGTATTGAATCACTTTGCAGGTTTTTTCATTTTTTGCACTAGGGATTTAGGTCAGGACCTTATGAATGCTATTCATACATTCTACCAATGAACCACATCTGAAGCCTTACAGAATTTCAATGAATACAGAAGTTTGGGCGTTACCTCAGATCCCCTAAATTAAAATCACTAAAGATGGGACCCAGGGACACATGTTTTCAAAACATACCACATATAGTTATTTTTTTCTTTTTTTTTGGCAGTGTTGGTGCTTGAACCCAAGGCTTTACATAGGCTAGGCCAATGCTCTATCACTGAGCTATATTCCCAATCTTCTTCATTTTTTATTTTGAGAAAAAGTCTCCCTATGTTGCCCAGGCTAGACCTGAACTTGTGATCCTCCTGCTTCAGCCTCCTGAGTAATTGAATTATAGGCATGCATCACCATGCCTAGCCACGTGTAGTTCTTCATTATAGAGCCAGGCATGTGAATTGTGCTTCTAGGCCAAGGCACCAAAATATGTATAACAAGTAAAAGTTCCTAATTGCTAGCTAAGCCAAATTTTTCTTCCATGGCATCTGATAAAATCTACACATGAATGCAGGGCTCCCAACATTTAACTGTGGCTTACAAACAGTAAATACTTAACAAGTTCACGTCAATGGTGATAAAATATGGAGGAATAGCAGAATGTGGAACAACTTTAGTTAAGATCCAGGTATCAATGGAAGTTCTAACAACCTTCCTTGCCATAGCATTTAAAACATGAGAAAAGAAAAGTATGTAACTTCAGCTCTAGGAAGGACAGGAAAGAGATAAGCTACAATACTGGTTGAAGGAACGTGGACTCTAATCTGGTAACAGCTAAATGTGTAGTCTTCAGTAACTTGCTTACTTTCTCTGGACCTTATGTGAGAAGCACCTTTTCTGTCCTTCCTTGCCTCAGGAATAGAAAGTACAGTGGGAATAGAAAAAAAAAGGGAAGTAGAGAGGAAGAAGAAACTTAAACACATAGCTCTCTTTGAGCACTTTAAGGACCTAATAGAAACAGGTTATTATAATGAAAAATCAAATCTGGATCTCTTTTTTCTCCTCAGTTTTATTATGCTAGCAACTCCAATTAAAGAGGGTGTAGCCTGCTAAGAATGGACAGATAAGATGAAGTAAGACTTCTAAGTAGGTTGAAAAGGAAACAAGATCTTAATGAGGAAGTGGCCAGAGTCCAGCCCCTCCCCTCGTTTCTCTGTACTCCTCATCTCTAGAGGCTATTGCTTTGCCTCCCACAGGGCTACTTAAAGAACATGAAGCAGAATGACTCATTTCCAAAGGGTATTTTTCAGAGCCCAGCTCCAGAAGGATGGGGTCCTGGCCTTTTGCAGTTACAGTAAGATTCCTGCACGTCCAGCAGTCTACCTCAGCCCACTCTGGACCTGACTTTTTCATCCCCAAAAAACTAGATTCAACAAAAACTACTTATCACTGTTTGGAACCAACCTACCCATTCCCAGTGCTCCATGCAGCAGGAATATAAGGCAATTAACATACAGTATAGCTCCAGGAAAAAACGGGTAGAAAAATTATTAACTATCTCCCTGAGTAAGTCTCTTACTTTCCAATAACTGAGTTTATGCTTACCAAATTGAAAGGTTTCAGGCAACCATAGAGTACTTTGCTAAGACCATGCTATTTATTCAACATCAGCAATAAACACCTATTAAAAGATAGACTGACTTTCAGCTTTGTGCAAAACTATTCCAACCATGAGTACAGAGTTAAACTGAAATTTAGAGGTGATCAATTCAATGATAAAGAAGCCAAGATCGGACCCCAACTTTCCTGCTTACTTACAAAACTATATTCTGACAAAGTTACTGTCCATAGAAGACCAAATACTTGAAGATAGTAACTTAAGCAGCAAACTGATTCAGCTTTCTGATCACAACATTTTCCCCTCTGTGATTTTTATAGTTTTTATAACCCTGGTGTCGTGGCATTCCATGTTGAAACACGTTTACAAAGCATAATTAGAAATTCTTGGCCAGGCATGGTGTTCATGCCTGTAATCCCAGCACTCGGGAGGCTGAGGCAGAGGATCGTTGTGAGTTCGAGGCCAGCCTAGGCCACAAAGTGAGCTCAAGGCCAGCCTGAACTGCACAAGGAGACCCTGTCTCAAAAAAAAAAAAAAGAAATTCTTCACTAATTCTCGCAACTACTTGGGATAATCAATGCCTTCTTGTCAACTAGCTAGTTGACTTTAAGAAGCCCATTTTGGTTCCCAAAGGATATTCAGAGTGCAATGAATGGACTCCACAGAATATGAGACTTCTCCAGTATGGGAGGATCATTAAGAATCCTGGCTTAGAACATGGATGACCAGGGTTCAAATCCTAGCCTCATAACTCATTACCAACATCATCCTGGAAAGTTACTCAAACTCTCCAAGTCTCAGTCTCATCCTTTGTAAAACCAAAATAATTGTGGGCACTGTGGAGGTTAAATGAGATGCATGTGTAAAAAGCTTAGTATGTAGAATTTACTAAATGTTAGCTCTTATTAATTAGCTTGCTGGTTTGACAGATGGTTCTCTATCACCTCCTACTCACAGTCTAATTTGAGCACCAAGATGCTTAAGCAGGGCATGGATCCTTCTTAGTATCTAGGGCATAAATTGGAATATCAATGGTCACAAACACAAATTACAATTTCAACTCACACTGGCAGCCAATCTGATGGGTGGCATTGAGCAGACGAACACAGGGAGCCGTTTTATTTAAAGGGATGTAGATCTTTCTCTCCACAGAGTTTCCCTCGCACAAACCTAATCAGAAGATAAAAACTGTTAGAAGAAACCAAGAGATACTTAACACTTTGCCTCTTTAATGTCACTGGCTTGATTCACAGCTTGGATAAATCATTCAATATCGTACTTTCTAAAATGGGAAAAGTTCTTTCCACTTCTTAGACACATTATTGGAACAGATAAATGCTCTACAAAGCACCCAGGTATGTGACTCAGAAGACTCCATGGAGAACAAATGACAGTGAAGCTAAGAGAGAACACTTGATTTGACAACATAAAGGTGTTTATCTTAGATGTGCTAAATTCTGGCTGCATGCATGATCACATTTCTGCTCTTCTACCCTGTAGGTATATTACTAATTAGTTGAGAAAAGACCACTGCCCTAAGAATATAGATTACAAAAATAACAATAAAAACCGCATTTCTGAGACTTTTCCCAAGAGTCTGAACAGAACTGGGAGAAACCTTATGCCACACACCTGTTCAGTTCATCTAACACCAGCAAGGCACTTGTGCATACTATCGTGTGAGACGGCTATAGATTCTCCTTTGGGGATCTTCAAAAACAAAATGAATTTAGGGGACAGCCCAGTCACGGTTACATTTTAGTGTTCAACCAACTAGAAAGTCACACACCAGAAAATAAATGTGTGTAAGGAAACACCTATGCACATTATAAAAGCCCTAAGATCCTTGAATCACTACTTCAGAGTACCCATAACCTACCTTAGTTTCACTTTACTGATGAAAGACAAAGACACGAGTTTATGGAATAAACACAGGAAGGAATAAGGATTCTTTTATGTGCCGCACAGCACCTACACAACAAGGCTGTTTTGGCCTCAAAAAGTCTAAACCCGGGGAAGAAAGCTGAACTTTCACAACTGTCCCTTTTGATTGTGGGTGGAGTGGCTGGGGCTCTATGGAAAATGAGGCATCTGAACAAAGTAGAAGAGAATCAGGCTGGAAATCCGGAAAGCGGCCTGGAGGAAGGAATGAAGTGACACGACTTGCCCAGCCGGAGGAGGATGAAGGTCCAGGGAAAGGGGGAACTTCTGTCATGGGAACGAAAGAAAAAGAGGATTTACAGGGTAGGGGACAGAGGGGCAGCGAGGACCAAAAGGGAAACGCTGGCGTTTGCGGTTAGGCAGATCCGGAGGGTTCCCCTTACAGAGCAGAGCTCCCGGGCGGGGAGGCCTCACCTGCCAGCAGAACGAAGAACGACAGAAGGCGAAGAAGACCCCGACTTCCCGGGTCAGCCTCAGAGCCGCCCCCAGCCGTGGCCATCTTGCCTCTCAGTCGAGCGGAAGCCTCAATCCCCGCTCCAGTCGGCTAGCAGCCTCTCTAGGCTACCACTGCCGCCGTCTCTGTGGCGCCGAGCTCCAGAGACCGGAAGTTCCTATGTGGCGGCACTTCCGGGAGCTGTGGCCCGGGGTAGCTGACGTGGAGGCGTTGGGAAAGGCAGCAGGGAGTGGTGGACCCGATAATCGGCCGTCGGAGCCATAGTCTTGGAGGATGCTAACTAAGTTCGAGACAAAGAGCGCGCGGGTCAAAGGTAGTGGAAAAGAAAGGGGATAACATGGAGGCTGGACGTCAGGGGTGGGTGGTGCTGTAACCGGGAAGGAACTGGTGGACTTGCCGGGCTAGTTGGGCCCACCCGACGGACCCAAAGGGGGACCGGGGAGGTTAGGCCTGGCGTGCAGCTTTGCAGTCCTCGCCTCTTTGTGTGCCCTGGGGCTTAGATTTACGTAGGAATCGGTTCTTGCACCGCAGGAAGCCCCTTAGGCCCGCTCCCAGTTTCCCAGCCCCTCCTCTCTTGGGGGCTGTGCTCCTGACATTTATTCTTCTGTTTCCAAAGCCCTGTGGCCTTTTGGCTTTTTGGTGATTGTGTTATATGGCGAAGCCCTATGCATTGAGTCTTGACCTCAGTCACTGTAGCTTTTCTCGGAGAGTGTACTGGTTACTTAATGTAAGGAGGCCTGACCACCGTCTCGACATCTATGGAACCTTATTCCCTATCGGGAATAGTGCGTTGAGGCCTGCGTCCCCAAGTCTGAGATTCATAGAGTCGCCGGATAAAGTACAGACTACCCAGTTTGCTTTGAGTTTCAGATAAACAGCTAATAAATTTTAGTAATTTGTTTTGGAGGGCAACTGGCTGAGATTGCAGTAGTTTCTTGAAATGTTAAAATGAGGGGTTGGGGATTTAGCTCAGCGGCACAGCGCCTGCCTGGCAAGCGCAAGGTCGTGAGTTCGATGCCCGGTACCGGCAAAACAAACAAACAAACAAAATGTTAAAATGAAAAAAGCAGAGAAGTCCAATGACAACTGGAAAAATACATCTGGAGTGTTTAGTAAGATTCAACATAGTCATTAAGAACTTGTTGTTTGGAGTCAGGAGGGCTTGTTTTGGAGTCCTAAAATATGCACTAAATAAATATCTCTAGATCTGTATTTCCTGATCTTTAAAATAAGGGTAGTTAGCATCCTCTTACAGAGAGAATTAAAATGAGAAAGTATATGGAAATTGTATTACAGAGCTTGGCTGGACTCACTAGCTCAAAAATTGGATTTTGAGGAGGCCCCTTAGGCCCGCTCCCAGTTTCCCAGCCCCTCCTCTCTTGGGGGCTGTGCTCCTGACATTTATTCTTCTGTTTCCAGTCACTGTAGCATTATTAGTATGAGAACATATTTTAGTATGAGAATTATATTTTGAGCAATTTCTAAATTTCATGGGAAACTTGATTGTGAAGTGTACCATTAAGAATTTCTGGAAAAAAAAAAAAAGGAATTTCTGGGACCTGAGTGCTTGAAATGGACCTTTATTATCCTTGAGTTCTCCATTAATAAATTCTTAAAGGATGCACTCCAAACTTTTAGCAGTTGTTAGCTGTGGGGACTTCCGTTTTTGGTCATGATGGACTAACAAGGACCAGATTTACCTTTTTGCATTAAATGCTACACAGCTGAACAAAATGTATAGAGCAAAGGTTTTCAAAGATTGTATAACAAGCAGTGCAGGAAGTAATTGGTGGGAGGGGGAAATAAAATGAGTCCTATAATTATTTTATTTATTTATTTATTTTTAAATATTTGTTTTAGCTTACTGCCTAGAGAGTTTCCAGACTGCAGTGAAAGAATAGGGAAAAGAGCCCTATGGACTAGCCGAGGAGAGAGTTTAGAGTTCAGGAAAGCAAAGATGGCTAAAATTTGCTAGGCAAAATACCAGAGAAGAGGATAGTTGAACAGAGAGAGCACTAGACTTCTGCCAGGGGTTACCTCACACCTTTGTCTGAGTACTGATTTGCCCATGCATGTGACAAAACTATCCAAAACTTAGAAAAGAACCATGGAAAAAGAGAAAGGAGAACAATACCTGGATCTCACAAAGGACTGAAAATAGTTTGTATTCTTACTAGGCAGAATGGAAAGACTTCCTAATGTTAAGACCGTCCTATAAGGGACCTCAGGACATTAGTAGTAGTTCCAAATTAGACCTAGATGAATGGTGGCAAACCTATGGCATGTGTGCCACAATGGGCTGTTTGTATCATTGAAAACTCTAAAAGGTTCTCCATCACTGACCTAAATTAAGGGCTCTATGGACCTACTGTAACAAAACTTTAAAGCAAACCTCAAAATGATCAACTGATTCTAAGTAACTTAACTGCACCCCAGAAAAAGCCCAGCAATATTTAAAGGAATATAGTAGAAGTCCAACACTTATTTATTCACCTTCTAGGTACCTGCCCTACAGAGTTAAAGACATACTACAGTATTGCAGTGATACATACAGCCCATGTTTATAGTAGCACAAGTCATAATAGCTAAATCTTAGGAGCAGCCTATATGTCTATCAACAGATGAATGGCTAAAAAAATAGGGTATTTATATATAGTGAAGTACTATTCTGCCACAAAGAAAAAACTTGAGTCATCTGTAGGTAAATAAATGCACCTTGAGACCATAATATTAAGTGAAATAAATCAGACACAGAAATTTAAACATTGCATGGTTTCTCTTATATGATGTAGTGGATTGACAACTGGTGGTCAACTTATAACCTCTGGGGCTGGGGATGTACCTCAGTGGCACCAGTGACTTTCTGGTAAGCACAAGGTCCTGAGTTTGATTCCCTGTACCAAGAAATAAAAAAATAAAATAAAATAAAAAGCAAAAAATTTAAAACTCCCAAATGAACTGAATCAGCGTGGTGCTGGGTGTGGGAGGCCCACCTGGAAATTGTTGCCAGCAGCATAAGAGGCAGAACTGGAGAAGAAGAAGGAGGCTGTTGGGAGCAGAGGAGAGGCTGTTGGGAGCTGAAAGGCTGTTGGGGCTGGTAGAAGCTATAAGGAGCTGTTGGTTCTGTTTGAGGAGTTCATCATGCTGGCTTTCCTGCTGAACTTGGCTATTTTCATCCTCCAAGGAGCTCAGGACCTTGTTGGCACTGAGAATAGCTTCAGTTCACTTTGGGGGACCTCTGGTCCTCACTCTGAGCATCACTTCCTGGCTCCCAAGGGGAAGATGGTACACTGCTGGTGTCCAGCAGAAGCTTGCTGCATTAGCTTTCCTTTCGGGAACTCAATCATCTTGATCATCGGAGGAGCTCAGGACCTCACTGTTGCTGAGGATGGCTGTGGTGCCTTTCAGAGGAGCTCTGGTTCTTCTGAGCGTCGCTTCATGCTCCAGTGCAGATCCCTCAGCCATCTAGCATGGATCCTTTATCCTGCTGGCACAGACTTCCTAGATTCCACCACTGTCCTTTGGGCCTTCATAGCGCAGATCCACTCTCCTTTGGGCCTTCGCAGCGCAGATCCGTGAAACAGGCCTGCATGAGATATTTTTGTGGGCTCTGGGCCTCCAGTTGGATTCTTGGGAGGCATTGTTATGAGGTCTAGGTCTTCAGCTGGACTCAGGCAGGACATTTTTGTAGGATCCAGGCCCTCAGCTGAATTCCTTGGTCTTAGTGTGTGGACAGATTTCCTGCACTCTTTGTATATTGTTCTTTGGGTGACTATTATAAATAATCATATAAAATATGTGTCCTGTATTATATTGTTTTCCCTTGCAACAATAAGTCCCAAACCAACACATATGAGAAACCCTAAGTATAAATAAAGAGAAAAATAAAAGATGGATAATAGGAAGTAGGAAGATAGATCTTTCTAAAGGGGAAGGGGATCAAGAGATGGAGGGAGCAGAGAGAGATGGGAGGTATAGGAGGTGAAAGAAGGAGCTAAGATGTGTTATGTGCATGTGTCAACTGCACACAAAGAATGTAAACAGTATGTACTACAAACTGTACTAATAAAGAGAAAACATGTTGCAACAATAAAGGAAATTGGTCAGTTCATTTACTTCTATTGTTTTTACTGTCTGTTAACTGAGTCTCAAAATAAATGATAATGGTAATAATGTTAAAAAAGTCCAGCACATAACAACATAAAATTACAATGTCTGGCATCCAGTAAAAAGTCATCAAGTACATTAAATGAATGAATGAACCTACAATTAACCTAGGTATTCCTTTTTCTTATCAGAATTGACAGAAAGTGACATTGTGGGACTTACTTAGCTTATATAATTTTCTGTTCCTCCTGCCCCATAGGGCTCAGTTTTCACCCCAAACGACCCTGGATCCTGACCAGTTTACACAATGGGGTCATCCAGCTATGGGACTATCGGATGTGCACCCTCATTGACAAGTTTGATGAACATGATGGTAAGATAGTTTCTAGCAGGAAGTTAAAAGGGATATAAGTCTTCATTGTTTTCAGGGGTAGTTTATATCTTGTTTGATATGGATTCCTGTAGGATTAATGAATGTGGAAGGGAGATGTAATATGGATGTATACCATTTTCTCAAGATGAATGTATTATGTATCACAAACATATACTGAAAAAAAAAAAAAAAATAGAAAGGAAGCCAGATGTGGTGGTGCATAACTGTGGTCCCAAAATTTGAGAGGCTGTGATGGATTGGTCACTTGAGCCCTGGGATTTGAAACCAACAGGGTAAAACAGTGAGACCCTGTCTCTCTAACAAAAATAAATAAATGAGTGGACAAAAATATACCTAGTTCTTGGGGAGAGAACTGAAAAATCCTCAGTAGCAATCACCTTAGAGCATTGGTGGTGAACCCATGGCACATGTGCCACAGTGGGCACATAGTGTCCTTTTGGTTGGCATGTGAGCCAAGTTGCTCCAGCAGCTGAGCATCAGATATTCAGGTTTAATTGCAGTGTTGGCACTTTGTGCTAAATAAGTGGGCTTTGGGTTACAGTTTGGGCAGTTGATCTCTAAAAGGTTTGCCATCACTGCCTTAGAGATTTGAAAGATTTGAGAGTAGCTGTCTCTAACATACATCATCTTCCTTCTTCTCTAGGGC